TCCGGAGAAGACAGCTCTTCTAGGAAGTACACTCTACAACATGGGTGGATCTTCCATCCAGAAGGGACACCAGACAGGACGTTCCCAGCAGGTGACAGCTTGCTTTCTGCCCTGTCAGCCAGGTGGCACTTCACCTCTGAGCTTCCGGGAGCTTGTCCTTTGATAGACTGGTTTCGTTAGCCGTGAGCAGAAACGCACTTGTCCAAACATCTGCAAACGGTACGTGTGTGAACGCTTAAGAGAGGGCACTCAAGTACATTCATTATATAAAGTAATGGGCATCATTACAGCATTTATGTAAACGCATAGAATTTTTATGTGTTCATTCCTTACTGACCCCTCATATTCTCTCCCCTCTCCCATCCATATCCGGAACACTCTCCATTTTACCTGTTTCTCTTTTATTCCCCAAATTCCACAAATGAGAGAAAACACACAGCGCTTGTCTTTGATTCTGGCTTGTTTCACTGAGCACCCTGGTCAGTTCTGTCCATTCTCCTGCAAACAACATAATTTCATTCATCTTTGCAGATGAACCACATATACCAACCTTTTCTCTATCCATTCACCCATGGGTGAACACGTAGGCTGATTTTATAACTTAGCATCATGAACAGTGGGTTGATGTCTTTTCCAAGCATGGGGACAGTTATTTTTACAGCAGGTCTGTCTGAGATCAGGAGAACATGTTTTTGTTGCCCGTGTCTCTAAGGTCCATGTCAATTTTTAACCAGCATCACCATTGTGTAGCGATAACAGCTATCCTTCACAGTGGCTCTGGTCTGTGCTGGGCACTGTGAAAATTTCAGTTTTTGTCACAATACTCTCCCGTGTGCCATTTAGACATGGTTTAACTAAGTAGCAAAGACCCCGCGTCTGTGGCTTAACCATGAGGTCCTTTGTTTTTTTCTCACAGAATATGAAGGTTAACTAGGAGCACTTTAGAGTGAGTCTGGGACCCCTGGCTGCCGTCAGTTGCTTTCACAGAAGAATTTCTTTGTCACATTTGCCACAGGCTATTTTATTTCACGGGCTCTAAGCAATATCGAAGCACAAAGCAGGAATCGGGGAAAAGGCTAAGTAGCAGAACTAACAAGGTAAGTTCAGGTTGAATGTATATCCCTTCCAACAAGCTTTCTCGAAGCCTCCAGCGGGTCCCTGGACTTGCAACTCATGTCCAAACCTGACTGCCTGACCAAGCAAGCTAGCTGGTAATCCAGGAGTGTTTACCTGAGTTCCTTGGTTAGTAAGAAAGGAAGGGTAAGTGGATACTGGCTGTTTGTCTAGCCTTCCTCAAATAGTTAATGCTTGTTCAAAATTTATGGACAGGGAAAGTCAAATTAGATAGCAGTTTGCCAAAGGTCACCTGGAGAAGGAGTGCCAGGCACATCTGACCGTAAAGTCACAACTCCTAAAGGTTGCATATAATTTGTTATGGATGCTTGGTTAAGGTTTGGGCTGGAGGACAGCGGACTTCTGGGATTCTCTCAGGAACAGGATGGGGGGTTGACCTTTTGGTCTCCATTTTTGCCTTGGGCAGCCGTGGGGATTGAATCTCGAGGCTTGCACATGCCAGACCTGTGCTCCTTCTCTGAGCTACACCCCCAGTACGTTCTCAGCTTCTTACGAACAGCCCTAAGGTCAGCATATGAAAGACCACCAGAGGCTCGATTTGATGCAGGGCAAGCAAGCATTTGCTAACAGTTAGAACCCAGTGTTCCAGGGGCCATGCGTCACACTCCAACCAGGAGTGTTGGTGGACAGCTGGAGCACCTTATAGCTGGAGCACTTCACAGCTGGAACATCTCCCAGCTGGAGCACATCACAGCTGGGGCACCCCACAACTGGAGCACCTCACAGCTGGGGCACCTTACAGCTGGAGCACCGCACAGCAGGAACACCCCTCAGAGGAGATTCTTGAGTGCTCTAAGGGTTTGAGTCAGTTGTGAGTTTAAGATTCTTGGTGTATGAAACTGAAGTGGCTGTGACAGGATGCTCTTGAGGAGAGGAAGGCTGGATCCACCTAGATGCCTCCCCATTGGTCAGAGCTAGTGGGGAACGACATCATTTATTTATGATGCAAACTGAGGCTTCTTGTTTTCAGGAGTAAAAGAGGATTTCAGTAACAATTCTGCTGGGATAAAAGGGGAGCACCAGCAACTGGAAGCTGTAACTGTGCTAGCTGTAGGTCCCTGAAGAATATAAGAATGGGGGGGGGGCTGCATATCATAGGCACCGATAGCTCTAAGAACGGCCAGAAAGGGCAGAACCCTGCACTAGACCATTCCAGTCCTCAAAGTTAGACCTTCAAAGAGCTTCTGATTGTGATAGGCTTTGGTCACACCTGTTGAAATCTGATGTGCAAAGATAATGCATGACTCCAGAAGATCTGCGCCCGACCCAGCCTGTGAGCCTGGGTCTTCTCCAAATGACTCATGTTTCAGAGTCCTGAGCCCAGCCCATCCTAGGCTGGAACCAGACCTGTGTTTTCACGCACTGAATAGTTTTTTTTTTTTTTTTCCAACTTTCAAAAAGCGCTGTTCTGGTTTGGGTTTGCTCAGTGACCTTGGGAAAGTCACACCCACTCTGTAAGGTTGGATTGTTGCCTTTGATGGAGATAAAATTGGAAATGAATGGTTATGTGGGAGGGGAAAAATGATTCAAGACCTTCCAAAGAAAGATTCCTCACAGATCCGAGTGATATTATTTTTTTTACAGCTGTTATTACCAGAGCTGCCTCTTGTCCTACCCGCCTCTCATTAGGGCCATAGGGCACGGCGTAAACAGGTTTGGCCCATGACCGGTGGTCAATGATGTTGGCACCAGAGCTGCAGGGTGGCGATTTCTCCTGCGCTTGTAATCCACCATTAACTTGCTCATGCCTGAATCTCAATGCCTTTTAGTAAAGGAACTGGAAACGAGTGGGCGTTCTAGCTACTGTTTTACTCTACACCCTAAGTACTGACTGAGCCTCTGTGTGCCGGGCTCTATTTCCCCAGCATAGAGAGAGCAAGATATCAAATAATAAGAATCAAGCACCGCTGTGTCTACTAGATCAAGGGCTTTGTGAGACTAAGGGTTTGGAGAGCTCGTCTGTCACAATTTTGCATCTCTCGTGTGCATCCTACTGACAGAAATAAATGTCAAACTGCTGTCCTATCCATTTCCAGAAGGAATGGGACCAGAGTCCATAGACTGGCACAGGGGTTGGTCATGTTCACCTCTCTGTCCCATGTTGTACCCTGTCCCTCTTACAACCACAAAGTCCTAGCCATTTGGACTTCCCTACACACATTCCCGTTTTTCTGTTCCTGTAGGCAATGGGCTGACAGGCTTTCTGTGAAGGGCCAGACCACACTTGTTTTCAGTTTTCTGTAGTATGTATCTCTATTGCAACTTCTCCGTGCTCTTGTTATCATGGAGAAAGTGTCACAAATGAAATGTAAGTGAATGTGCATCGATGTGTTCAAATAAAACTTTATTTACAAAACCAGTCAGGGGGCCAGATCTGATGGCTAGGCTGTAGCCTACTGCTGTCTCTTCTAGACCTTTGCCCCAGCTTTGATCCTCTACAGATCCACATTAAACACTCCCTTTCCCCTTCGCATCTGCTCACTACCAGTTCAGTTATTACAAAAGTTCAAAGCTCTTTCTCACTATTCCAGTTAGGGAACTAATTGGAAGTAATAATTACACAACAACAAGAAAAAAAAAATGTACCTTGCTCTATACATGGGAAACAGAACCTGGCAAATGGAAGCTCCCAGTCAGTCCTTACTGAGTAGAATAACCAAGGAAGGAATATAGGACTCTGTATGATGTTTTATAACATCTTCTTTAGAGGTTATTTAAACAGACTACCTCTGCTATATAACAAATAGCTATAGTTCCAATTCCACTGGTTTCCAATTTCTCTCCATTAACCGTGTGTTGGGCACGACACCCCCCAGGCTTTAGAAAACTCAACCTATGTTTTCTTCCTTAACCCAGTGGTAGACTCCACTCACTCGCGTACTGTATGAATATATTGGCAGATCCACTCTTCTAATAATATTTAGTGCGTGTCTACTACAGGGCAGAGTCAGTGACATTTTAACTTTTTGTGCGACACTTAGCAGAATGCCTGTCCCCTGCAAAAACCCCATGAGAGCTGTTCTTCAAATAAGGAAAGATAGGGCTGAGAAAAGAGGTCCATTGTCAAAGTCATAGTTTCTTCCCTGTTGTCAGTGTCCCGTGGTGAAGAATTATCTCTACAGACAGATGCCGAACCACTGTGCCTCGGGGTGCGTTTGGGGGTTCTCCTCTCTAGCCTTCTGTGGCCTCATCTGGAGTAGTTTGGAGACTCCCACCTGTCACTTGTTTTTACCTTTTTTCTGGATCCTTGGGTCACCTGATCTATGGTGATTTCTTGTGGCTGGACCAAAAATAGCCGCGCCCACTTCCCGGCTTCTGCCTGCGAGGGTCATGTGACTCGGTGGGCCACCAATCACCGTGCTGTAGAGTGCCTCTTTTCTTTGTGTTTTTATTTTTAAACAAATAAATATTTTATTTTTAAACAAATAAATGTTTTTGTTTTTTTTTCCCTCCCCTTGCTTTTTGAGAGGGTTTTTCTCTTGCAGCATGGGAATACTGAAATAGTTTCCTTGCAGACTCTAAACTTTTTTTTTAAAGTATTTATTTTAGTTTATTTCTTTCTGTATCTGCATCTCTGTCTGTCTGTCTCTGTGTGTTTCCACAGGAACCAGAAGAGAGCATTAGAACCCCTGGGCTGGAGGTACAAGCCCCTCTGGGTCACCCAATGTGGACGCTGGTCCTCTGATAGAGCAGCAAGCACTGTTAAGGGACGAACCACCTCTCATCCCAAAACTTTTCTTCTTAAAAAGCCAGTCTCTGGTCCTTTGATGATGACTTTGAGGTAAATGTAAACATGTAGTTTCCTGACAACTCATATTGTGATATTATTATATAATATTATAGAAATTATTTACAAAGAATATCGTATGTATGTCTCTGGCCATCTTCCTCAACATGTGGGTCGAACGACCCTTTCACAGGGGTCATCTAAGACCATCGGGAAACACAGACATTCACATTATGTTCCTTAACAGCAGCAAAGTCACAGTTATGAAGTAGCAATGAAAATAGTTATATGGTCAGGGGTCACCACACCATGAGGAACTGTGTTAAAGGGTCACAGCCTTAGGAAGGTTGAGAACCACTGTCTTGAGGATTAGAGCTGGTCTAAAGCAAGCCAAAGCAACCGATTTTTCACAACGGGCGTGAAATGACCTCACTCACTTTCACCCTGGCCAGACGCAGCTTTTCAGCGGTTACCAGGACGGTAATGTGTTTATGTCAGGGGCTGAGAGAAGAAAAGGGTTACAGCTGGTTACAAAACAAACATCGATCGTGCACAGGGCTTCTCACCTTACCTGGGCAAATGGGAAAGGTGGGGGGCTGGGGGCTGAAGCAGTGCGTGGGGTAAACACCTGGGAAACTGGAGAATGTTCTGGGCCTGCCCGCCCTCCCCCCACCCCCCCAGGTCTGGAAGTGATTCTGCAGCCGGCTGAGGGAGAGAGCACAGGGCTCTCCCGCCTCTTCTGGTCGCTTTCTCGTCCACCATGGGTCACAGGAAACCAAAAATTCTCTTGCACCCGGGTCTTCCTCACAGATATGTCTACACGATGGCAGCTAAGGGGACCACAGGGAGAGGAAATGATCACCCGCTTGCAGAGGAGGGGGGCAGGATCCCAAGATGACTTTTGCTTATAAAGGAAGAGGCGCTAAGGGCGGGGACCACAGACTCATAGCAAATAGGGATGACAAGGAGGCAGTGTGGCCCATCAGTAAGCTAACCCACTACAAGCAAGACCTCAAGCAAGTCCTCAAGCAAGACCCCTGGCAAGTTCCTCATCAGTGAGCCCTTGTCAGGGTATGTTTTCAGTTTACAAACTCTGCCCGCATGCGTGCGTGCGTGCGTGCGTGCGTGCGTGCACGTGTGTGTGTGTGTGTGTGTGTGTGTGTGTGTGTGTGTCCCTGAGTGTGCTCAGGTGGGCAAGACATTGACAAATAAGTTTCATAAATAAACGTGCTCTCTGTGTGCCCGGAGTATTCAAGTGTAAAGTAAAATACTGTCTTCCTGTCTCCAGCCCTGTTTGTGGAAAGAACTCTTTACCCCAGCAGTTTCCCATCAAAAGTTGAGTGTTTTTATCAGGCAGTGTATAACTAAATTCAACCCAGAGGTCCTCTGACCCTGCGATTTCGCCCTCAGGAGCCGATCTCCCAATCCTAGCTGTACAAAAGAACGTAAAAATGTGGAAGTAACCGTGGTCTGGTCAGAGCGGCTGGGGTGGAGGGTGAGATTCAGCTTAGGGTACGCAGCGAAGGTTTGAGATACGGTGAAGATGCGAAACTGTGCCTCAGGGTGTGTTAAGTAAGCATCACTAAAGAATACAAGCGCACCCGGAAGGGGTTGGGCATGTGTAGGCACACAGCATGGCACTATTGCTATGAATTTGCATGCATGGGAAACCCCCGGCTGGCCAGGCCGGGGTATCCCACGCGTGCAGGGAACCATGCTGGCATGCTGGGCAGATGCTGGAACATTCACAACCCAGATGCTACATCCAAGAGGAAATGGCTTATTAAATAGAAAGATGAAGAGAAGAAAGGAAAGAAGAGAGAAAGAGAGAGGGAAAGAGAGAGAGGGGGGTTGAGGGGTGCACACATCATGGGAGTGGAGAGAGAGACAGAGAGAGACAGAGAAGGGAAGGGTGGAGATTTCCTTTACGAAGAGGCTTCTACGTCAGGACGCAGGGCGGCCCCAAGGGGCGGGTCACAATATGAACAACGATATCCATCAACTGCTTCTAGGAAGTTATCCCGAAAATGTGACAGCGGACGTCTCTGAGGACGAGATGAGAGGAGTGGCTTCCAGATGCCTTCAGGAGGTGGCCTTCCAACCCCCTACTGCTCTGCAGTGTTTGAAAAATCCCAACTGGCCAGGTGCATAAATCGTGCTCAAAAAGAATTTTAATGAGGATGCCACTCTTCCCAATTAATTGGGGTTTGCGTCCTGCAGGCATCAGCGATCGGCGGAATAGACAGAAAGGGACAGAAATGTCAGAGCTGTTGCAGGAACTAGAAATGGTGTCCTCGGCTATGGGAGGAGGCAGGCTTCAGTGAGAGCAGATTTCAGTAACTAATGGATAAAGGAGAACACCAATATGAGCCACTGTTTTGTTTTGTTTTGTTTTGTTGTGTTTTGTTTTGTTTTGTTTTGCAGACAGTCTGGACACCTGGAGAGCTGCATCTGAAGCTTAGAGCCTCTCCCAGCAAGCCACACCAAAGGCCTTTTCCTACCGAGGGGTCGCCCTGACTCCCAAATCAATAATTTAAAGGCCTCTAGCCTCCTGTCTATTCCAATTCTTTGGCTCTCAAGGAGTCGCCAGTAATCCTTTCTCTTTGCCTGTGGTTGACAAAGAGGAAGACATATTTGGAAGAATAAACACTCACTGATTTATTTACATTAAATAATACTTTGCTCTCTCTCTCTCTCACTGGCCTTTCGAAAGCAGTCATGTGACCATGACTCAGCAGGGTTTGTGTGATATCAAGCTTGTAGGTGGGGCAGTGTCAAGGAGAGGCCAAAGCTTTGCTTTTGAGACTTGCCACTAATTCAGCACCCGGTGTTTGGAAGAAAGGATACGGAGGATGCTCCTTGAACAGTTTGTAACTCTGGGCTTTCTCTTATAATGTTCAGTTCATTGTAAATGACCCTTCCATGTGCCTAAGCATTCTGTCTTCTCTCTGTTCAGACTGCAAACGCCTAAGGCCAGGTAGAGTGGCCCAGGCCTGTATGCCAGCACTCCGGAAGCAGAGTTAGAAGGGTCCTCCAAGTTCTAAGCCTTCCTGGTCTTGTGTTTCAGCCTAGCCAGGGTTACGTGTGAGACTCTGTCACAAATACACAACACCAAAACACCAAAGGCTGTATGTATAAGTGTGAGACCAGTGTCCCCATGCATCCATCCATCCATGCATCCATGCATCCATCCATGCATCCAGGCATCCATCCATCCATCCATCCATCCATCTATCCATCCACTTATGCATGTGTGGTGCGCCGCTGTGCTGGAAGGTATTCAACATGAATAAAGTGCATTCCTTGCTTCCGAGATGTTCACGGTCTTCTAGTCTGTTGATCTTACTACAATTTGTGTCTCCCCAGGTGCTGAACACAGAAGAGATTCATGAAAGCTGGCAGCTTGAGACAGTGCTGACTGTGAACCTAGGAGGGCACCATGGTGCTGTGGTGTGTGTTCTAGGTTTTTTTTTTTTTTTTCATTTTGCTGAAGAGCTTTTGGAAAAAGCACCAATTTCTCAAGACCTCTTAGCAGTAGCTTTCAGGAAGGCAAATTCGTTCTTTCTTAGAAGGAATGTTTCTGGACCTGGGACCTCTCCTAAGGCTGACATGAAGGACAACGGTTGTTCAGGTCTAACAAAGGTCGGGGCTACCTTCTCCTGAGGAAACGGGCTGACTTTTCACACAGACAAATGACCACTCATCAAGAAGGGGTATGGGAAGAGACAAGAGGCTGGGAGAGGTAATGTCTCCTGAGTGCTGCCGAGGGCACAGAACTCCACACACTCTCTCTCACATCGTGAACGATTGCTCAAAGGTGCTGGGGGTAGCAGGTGATCTCTCTCTCTCTGTATGATATCTAGTTATAATTTTAAATTAAATGATTTTCAAAGTACTGTGCCTTAAGCTAGCTGCCTAAAGAAGTATGATCCAGTCATTGCCCTCGCGGGTAAAAAAATATTAAGCACACACAAAATCAAATAGTTACAGAAAAAAAAGAGTAATAGTAACTGAGAGGATTTTAGGAACCCAGAGTTTTCCTAGGATGGTAAGTATAGATCACTGACAACATGCAAGGTGATTTTCAATTATTATGCAAATGTTTTAAAATTCCATTACTTGTTTTCAAATGCATTAGAAAAATCTAATCCTAGCATACCTAATCTTTGCGTACACAGATACTATTGCTTAGCCCAAGGAACGTGTTGCGAAGCAGCCGTGTATAAGGCTATGACCAGGAACACGACATGGAAGCTAAGCGCTGTTTGAATGGCCCGAGACTGAGAAATGGAGATCACACGCATTCTCTGGGAGACAGAGAGGTTAAATGAGTTGCCCTCGGTCAGAAAAGATCAGAGACCAGAACATGGCCACCTGGCTTTGCCCCCACATCCTCCTCACCCAACCACTATTTCCTACTTTGCAAGTGAGGAAATACCAGCTCGGCTAACAAGCCATCGGTTTTGACTAGAGACTCCGGTGAGAATCTGCCTGCAAAGTAGAGAGCGTCAACTTGGTTCAGTGCAAAACCAAAGTGAGCGTGTTTCCGGTTCACACCGGTCTTACAGAGCTCTCACACATACTGGTGCATGTTAATCCCCAAACCACCCTGTTAGGTGCCATTCGATGTGGGGATGATCTTTGTTTACACTGTGTGAAGATGTGTCTCTCTCCTTCCTCACCTGCCCAGGGCGCCTTCTGATTGGTTTCATAAAGAGCTGAACAGCCAATAGCTAGGCAGGAGAGGATAGGCGGGACTTCTGGGTAGAGATAGATGTTAGCATTCAGACATCATTCTATGTAAAGTCCCCCTTCCAGAAAAAAAAAAAAAAAACCTTTTATATTTTTGGTTGTGAGCCTAACCTTTAACGACAGAGCCATCTCCAGCCAGGCGGATCTCTGTGAGTTCAAGTCCACCCTGGTCTACAGAGCAAGTTCCAGGACAGGCACCAAAACTACACAGAGTAACCCTGTCTAGAAAAGAAAAAAACCTCTCCCTCTTCTCTCTCTCTCTCTCTCTCTCTCTCTCTCTCTCTCTCTCTCTCTCTCTCTCTCCATGAGGTAGTGTTCCCCTCCTCTTTTCCTTTTTTCTCTCAGCCCTGCCTGCTTTCCCTCTTTCTCTTCCCCCCAATAAAATTTTCCGCATGGGTGCTGTGTCTGCATGGCATGTCTCCCTCCCTCACCGCCGTGGGGCACCAAGGTCTCTCTCCTGCCATTTTTAAAATTCAAAAATAGGAACTCTGGGAAAGAATCTGAGGCAGGGGGGGATTTGCCAGCCGGGTGTAGAGGAAGTCAGATTTACAGTACTGAGGAGAGGTAACGAGCCACATGGCAGAATGTAAATTAATATAAACGGGTTCATTTAAGTTTTAAGAGCTGGTTGAGAGCAAGCCTTAGCTACGGCCAAGCTTTCATAATTAATAAGAAGTCCCCATGTCATTATTTGGGAGCTGGCATTCCAAAGAAAATCCTGTTACAATTAGATAATCCCATTGTCCTTCCTTTTTCCGGGAGAAAAATGAAGGAATGCAGATCAAGTGCTTTTTTACACTTTAGTTTGCAGAGCTGAGATCTGGACCCAGGTAGTTCAGCTCTAGAATGTGTTCCCCTAAGCCTAACACAGACCAGCAGCACGTGAGGAGGTGAAGGAGTGTCTTATACCTCTGGTGACATTGAAACTATTCTGCTCAGTGTGGGACATCCTCCCCAATCCACACCTCCAATTTGCCAATGAGTCCTACCTAGTTCATTCTGTGGAAGACAAGAGTTTCTTCTTGACCATCAACAAGGTCCAGGCTGTCCCGGAACTCATGCTTCTCCTGTCTCAATCCTCTGAGTGCTGGGATTGCAGAAACTCCCTAGAAAGATCTATGGTGACCGTCCTTTCGTAAGAATAATTCATTAGTGTTCAATGATGAAATTAAAAGAAAGCCTCCCACTTCCAAGGATGAGATGCTCAGCACCACGACAGGTGAATAGGGATCGGGATGGTGTAGTGTGGGTCACGTCGGTTCATGGCAAAGCTCACTGACAGGAGCAAAGGCCCAGTGCTCTACAGGGGGCCACCAGGTGCTGAGAAAGCCCTGCCTGCTGCCTGGTGCTTGGCACAGCCCCCGGTGGAGAGCTGGTGTTCAGAGCCAAGAATGATTGGAAGCTCGGCTGGAAACAGCTGGGCAGGGCAGTGGGCAGCGCCGGGGCGGCGATTGGAGGTGAGAGGGCAGCAGACTTGAGTTTGACCTACTTTATCGTCTTGTTCCAGGTAAGCCTGGAGGAGAGGAGAGTGCCAAGTTTCCGGTCCGCAGGGACCTTGCACAGACCACTCAACCGTGCGCTGCTGTAGGGAGGGTTCAGGGCCTCGAGGGAATCCCTTCACCTTTGTCCTCCACTGTAGCAGGCCTAGTTCGGGCTTCCGGCCTCTGCCTCCTGAGATGAACAGACCTCGGCCTCCCTCCCTCCCTGTAAGGTGCCTGGTGGGGTGGAGGGAGGGCCATCTGGGTCCTGTCACCAGCCTCCACTGCATTGGTGCTGGAGGAGGATCATCAGCCCATGGGTGCTTTTCTTCATCTCCCCAGCGGGTGCTGACAGCTGAGCCATTCCACACACCTTTGGGGCAAAGAACTGCCGGAAGCCGGGTCCAAGTTCAAAGACTGGACATTCTTTCCGAGGCTGCCAGGAGCACCCTGGAGGGCCGGCTCCCACGTTGCATAAGCCGCAGGTTAGCAGGTCCGCGGCCGCTGATGCGCTCAGCCTTGGCCTCTCCGGACTTGAGCAACTATTACGTAGAAGCACTTGTTCAGTGTGGCGACAGGTTCTTCTGCATTGCTACCAAACGCGTGGTGCATCTGCCCGGACTCACTCAGACAACACTAAAGCTCTTCGCCACCAGGTGGTTAAAGCTGCCTGGTGGGGCTGGCAGGAGGCACAGCCATGACTTACTGTAGCTCTTGGCCCAGGCCACCGAACACTCAGTACCTTGTACCCCGTTAGCCTTGGGCAGTAAAGCCTGTGATAAAATGTTCTTTTTTCGTGTTTGTTTTTCCTGGCAGTCTCATTTTGGGATATAAATGGCTCATTATTTCCATCCCATAGATCCATTCTTGCTTTCTGAAATAACGGAAAGATTGGTTAAGAAAAAAAAAAAATCATCATTGAGGCGACCCCCCTCCTCTCCCTAAATGTTCTGACCTTGAACAGAGGCCGAGTTTCCACACTGCTCAGGCCATCTAGAGTTGAGCCAGTGTGGGAGAGGTTGACTTCGGGAAGGCATCCGAGAGCAAGGGATATAAATATATTTACACTAAAGCGCTTGGTGCTGTTAAATGTCAGGAATTGGCACAGACCTCCCCCCTCCCCCCAACGGAGCCCCCTGCAACCTTCCCAGAGGACACTTGGGCAAGTGTCAGAGGTTAGGAAGTTGGATCAGAGTCCCTCCCCAGACAGGTCATTTTCCCTGCAGGGCAGCTTGGAGGCAAATTTTATTAAGGATCAAGTAGCTGGCCCAACGCAGTATAAATAGTGAGAGAGGCATGTGAGAACCTCAGACATGAGTGTGGCTGAGGCCCAGGCAGGAGGCACCCTCTGTGTTTACTCAGCACCTTGCAGGGAGCTGTCTCCCCAGGAAAGGGGCGTGGGACTGTGAACACAGACTTGCGGAGGCTAAATACCCCAAATCTCCTTACTCTTGGAAACTGGAGGACTGCACAGTTAATTCCGGGGAGGAGCCTGAGGCTGGAGGAGATTGTCATTCAGAAGCAGAGGCTGGTCCCTAAAAGTTTCCCCAGGTCAGTCAGGTAACTAATGAGGACAAAACCTTGACTCATGTTTTAATATTGTGCAGGAGCCGATATGTCAGCAGCAGATACGAAGGGCCTCAAATTTGAATTTTCCAAGGACAATCTGGAATGGATTTGATGTGCCCCATTAGCTTGCTCTGCTGTGACCTCTTCTTACGGTAGGGTAGACCCCAAGTGTAAGCCAAGCTTTAGTGAAATGTATCAAGCCATAGATAACTGAGTGAGGACAGCCATGGAGCTATTGAAGAACTTTTTTCTTAAACTAGCTGTCTCTTGTCAGTCCTGCCCCCACTGTCCAGAGCTGTTGACACCTTGGAAGATAAACTTGTGTCCTCCATCCATTGGAGAAGGCTCTTAGGATGGGAAGGGTATAAAACACTCCCATTTATAGTCAACAAATTTCCAAGGTCCCTGAGGCTTGTTCATGATCCGCAACAAGACTTCTGCTTCCTTCAGACCTAAATTCTAAATGTACTTTGAAGGATGACAGTATTGTCAACATCCTGTCTTTTGAAAGAGGACAGTAGCTGCCAGGCAGCAGTGGCACACACCTTTAATCCCAGTACTCGGGAGGCAGAGCCAGGTGGATCTCTGTGAGTTCAAGGCCAGCCTGGTCTACAGAATGAGATCCAGGACAGGCACCAAAACTACACAGAGAAACCCTGCCTGGAAAAAACAAAAAAGAAAAGGAGATCAGTAGTCACCTGAATACATCATCCCCTATCTATTTATTAAAAATCAGTGCCCATACTTTGCATCCAGAACCTAAATAGAGAAGGCTACTAACTTTCAGAAGTCAGTGACCAGGAGGAGCTGATGCCCTTAGAATTCCTCCCTGAGGATGTGAGGACATAAAGAGGTCCCTTTTCTTTTTTTCTAGACTCACTCACATTCTGGCAAAGACTATTGGCTCCTTAGTCAATATTTATTCTTTTTCTATGAAAACAATTCCAGCATGGCAAAATTCCTGGCTTGGAGGTGACATTTCCCGGCCTCTCTCACAGTAGGAAGCACACAGGACAGGGTGCTTACATAAATTTGAATTTTGGCAAATAAATCATTTTTAATTCAGTATGTATGTGTGCCTGGCATAATAGTATTTATATATTTTTTGATGGTTTATATATTTTTATTTAGTGTGTTGAAGTGTTTTGCCTGCATGCATGTATGTATGTGCATCCTTGGTACCCGAAGAGGCCAGAGGAGGGCATCAGATCCCCTAGAACTGGAGGAACAGGCAGTTGTGAGCTGTCATGTGGGCACTGGGAACTGAACTCAGGTCCTCTGCAAGAGCAGCCAGTGCCCTTCACCACTGAGCCATCTCTCCAGCCGCCAACGTTTTTGAATTTTTATTTGCCAAACACGATAACTCTGCGCACAGGGATTTTGGAATGAAGACACATACTCTTTGTCCTTTCTCTCCTGGGACACAGATGGGATAGCGGGGCTTCAGAAATTACCTGGAAACAGAGACTACAGGGATAATAAAGACGAGAGAGGACTGGGGGTCACTGGTGAATGTATACCTTCAGAGATCTCTCTCTCTGCCTCTCTGTGTGTCTCTCTCTCTAT